TCATTGATGACCGATCGCCTTGTGGTCGCGTGGAATTCATGCGCGCATTCGAATTTGCAATGACAAATCGCTCGTGACGAACGCGTTGCCGATCAAGCGCAGTTGGCTGAGAAAATTTACTTTTTATTACATTGAAGGCGTTTCGCAGCTTTGTAACATTTAATAAGGCTGTGTACTTCTTGGAGATTTTTGTACATTTTTTATGATTACCTCTTAGCTGTTCTTCAAACATTTTATTTTATGAAATTTAATTCTATTACATATTTCCTGATGTTGACCTCGGGATATACACGTTTTCCTGACCTAAACTTCTTCGCAAAAACTGGTGTATACACATCACATATAATGCTGTCTGTTCACTTCATAATGTTCGCTTGAGTTTTGTTGGTTATTCGCCGCGTGTCTGCGCCGGAATGTTTGTCGCGCGGCGGGCCAATGCCTGCTTAATTACCACAGCTTCGACATTTTGATTTCGCTATTTTCAAAAATATATCTTCGGTTTGCTTTATTTTGCAGGAATCTCTCTGTTATCTGTAGTCGCGGTGACTATGAAAATTGGCGTATGCGTCAATGTATTTCTGTGCCTATTTTTATGTGCAAATTCTAAAAATTCGAAAAGTATCCAACATAGTGTGTGTTAAAAATAGATCCTGTGGAATGTGTCTTCGCCAGCATGCGACATATTTGTGTATGTGAAGTTGAGTTCTTTATAAAAATAAATACAACTTGGTATATCTGAAAATTCCGTGTCAAAGGCAATAGAATTCGTCCACATGCTTTCCGAAAACGATAGTTGTAAGTACTACTTCCATGCTTACATATGTATATATCTTTATTTAAGTACTAGAAAACCTGAAAAAGACCTTGAAATCGGAAATACATAAAATAATATTGCAAACTTATACTAACATCTATATATTTTGAATGAAAGGTTTTGACCATCGCTTTGACTATTATAAATTATTCTTTTAAACAATATATATTAAATATATTCAACTCCTTTAGGCCTTCCATCCATTTTTCTTCTCATCAATATGAATTTCTAGTTGTAAAAAAATACTGTCAGAAAACTCGATTGAGAGTGGAGCTAATAGATCTCGGATCGTTACTATAAATGCTTATTCGTATCTTGATAAAATTGTAATCCAAGTCGATGATAAGGCCGTGCACATCACGAAGCCGAAATAACTTGACGGATTAAGTTCTGGTTCGTTTAATCTCGCATTAATCTTTTAACTTGTAGTTTATTCTAACTTGGAACCTAGGGCTGTTGTTCCAGAGTCGGGAAATACGACGAAACATTTCTTTTTTTCATACGGGCGATCGACAAGCACCTTTTAAACTATATGGGGGGATTGTGCTGGGACAGATCTAAGATCGTGAGGTACTTGGAGGATTGGATTGGATTATGTCAAGAAACTTTATCATGGAAGTGAAAGACGGTCTACGTTGAAGGAACTTTTTTGCCAAAGTATTCCAAAAACGTCACCAGACGTCCAGAGATATCTATTATGTATATTGAAGCCTCTGATTTTTTAAAATCGTATACTCGAGTCTTTGCAGTTACTGCTATCAAAGAGTGTATTTTATTTTTTAACTTACCGATTTATTAGATCCTTGAAACAATAGCCCTTGGCCTGATAAAATCAGGGTAAATTCCGGTAACGTAGCACCGGCTGTTGTGAGAATTAGATTTGTCTTTCTACGTGGCGTGTCTCAGTGACAACGCATCCCCAAATAAAGGGGTTCGACTTGAAGTTCTAATAAAAAATTTCCGCTCAGTATTAACTCCACCAAAATGATCGCACACGCACTGTCTACAATAAAAATAGCAACAATAATTGTTTATCATTAATTTAAATTTCAGCAAAGTATTCTTACAATTTGACCGTTGCCATCGACAAGTGTTGCAACACCAACTACGAATGCGGGCGCAACGGCAGGATGCACACACACACACCCATACCCTTGCTGAGCAAGTAAAATGATCGCTACATGTTGATAAACAAATTCCGCTGCGACTCAGCTATGAAGCATAGCGAAGGGGTCTGTCCGTTGTTTTGTCTGCTTGCCAACAGGAGCTCCTGCACACATATGCACACACACACACAAGTCTCACCATTCATGTGGCTATGCAATGCCGCTCGTGGCAACCAGCAACCTGGGCTGCTGCGGCGACAAATCAACGAACGGTTGAAGGCAACAATGTTGCTTCTTCGTAGACAAGATTTTTAATAATGCATAACGAAGCAGTGATGATCAGCGCTGACGATGTTGCAGTACCGGGAAAACAAGCCAACAGTACATCGGCAGGGAAGTCAGAAACTTTTGAAATATGTTGGTGACGGCACACGAGCCAACCAGAGTCGGACGGACATGCGCTTGCTCGGCTATTCTTGTGGCAGCTACGCGATTTCTGCGACAATCAATGTACACTCAATGTTGATTATGCCCGAACTGTTGTTACTGCTTGTCGTTGTTGTTGTTGATTAGGGGATTAAGTGTTTTGTTTTTGATTACTTGCGCCCGATTGTTTTGGCTTGGTTCGGTTGTCATTTGGCGGGCGATGCGTCAACTCGCCTGCGGCCTCAGGCAACTGAAAAATTCAGGCAACTACAACGGGACAACATTGTCTCTGTATGTGAGTGTGCACTTGCCAGCACTTGTTGTTGCATTTGAGAGTTTTCTTTCTGATTGCTATCATTCTCATTTGCCACCAGTATTATTTCGGTGGCAGTTTTACTTGCTTCGTGTTTACTTTAATAAATTATGTTCTATATATGCGTATGTGTGTGTGTGTGTGTTGAAGTGGTTCCAATTTTCCCCCGTACATTTTAGTTTTATTTTGTCCTTTTACTCTCGCCACAAATATTTGCATTTGTGTTTTTTCTTATCTCTGTCATTTGCTTTTCTATTTTATGTTCCTGTTTCGTATTTGTATTCTAGCCCATTGGGGGATTCGCGCAGCATTGGCTGCATAGCTTCTGCATTCTAATATGTGCATACATACATATATATATGTGTGTGTGCCTTTATGTACTGCTTGGCTTTGCTCAGTAAGTCTTAGGAGATTAAGATTTATGGTTCTACTTATGTTTTCTGTTGCAGTCTTTGTTGTTTCGGCCCTAGCTCGTGCCACCGTTGCGGTTTAATAAAATGACAGATTTATTCTTTTGAGGAAAAATTGAAAAAAACCCCATTTTATTTTGTGCAATATGCTTTGAAAGAGAAAAATCAAATATTTATCATAAAAAAAGTAATGATAAATGGGTTTCTTAAAAGGGGACAAGGCATGTGCGAAAATTAGGGCCACTTTTCATTCTTCCCAGAGGTAATTTATTTATTGGTCTGCATTATTGTTGTCCTCCTCAAAGTAATCCAAAATATTGTATACATAATACACTCTTATATTCTTGAAATCGTCAAAGCACTTTGTTAAAGCTTTCATTTTCTCCATCGAAGCAACTATTTTCGGCTCTCGCTCCATGCGTACCCTTACTTAATGTTAACAGAATTTCCACAAGAAAGTTGGGAAATTTGAATTTGCGTAGTATAAATAAAAATCCGGTTCCGTTTCGGTTGCGTGGACCCGACTGTCGTGTAAACGCTTTTTCTTCCTCGTAAAAGTGATCGCTTCTCGGCAAACATACGAGTGAAAGGCTTCTGATAAAAATAACTGCAAGTATAAGCTTTTCTTGCGGGACTTATAACGATCTGTTAAAGGTCAACGGCAAGAAGAAAGTAGTTGGATTATTACCCGCAGCGGAGATGAACACTTGGACAGGTGTGATTGAGCTTTTGCGGCAACAAACTTTTAAAATTTATTCAAATCCTTATATATCGACCAAACGTTTTGAAAACTTCACAACATTGTTGAGGCGAAATAATTACCAAAATCAAATCGCTCAAAAATAATTATTGAAATCCCTTTGACTAAAAATTCTCCTTCATGACACGGAATCGCAAGTTTGTACAGGTTCCTCAAATGACTTTTTAATTAAGACCAAAAGATGATATTTAATCCATATAGATTAAACCTCAAGAAAGGATCGAACTCAGGAAGGTAACGAACCATCAACGTCATAGAGAGTACCAAGAAGTTTCGTTGTTATGCCACAACAAGCATAGAACACATCAAGACAGAACACATAATTTTGGCTTTATGAAGAGAAGCTCAGTGATCAGTCCTGTTTCTATCGATATTTTGAATTTTATCTATTAAATTCATATTCAAACATTCTATACCTTTCCGATTGAGAAGTTATTGTGAATTATAGCTTATTATATTTATGTTTTACTAACCTCACTTTGTTTATCTTTGTTTGCAGATAATCTTCTAGTGCTTTGAAAATATTCTTTCAATATCGCTGTTTAATGAAAGAAATGCCAAAAGTGAGAGAATCAGTTCAAAATTATTACAGGATCGTTAAGTCCAAATTATTGAAATCCAAAAGAGTGGGTTGCAATCATGGACTACCCGAAAGGTGAGGTTACACGCCGCAATCAAATTAGCTGACAGTGTCCAAACAGCTATTCTTTATATATAATAAAATTTATTTGAATAAAAAAATTGTCGAGCCAACACGATATTAGAAAAAAGTTATAAGTGCGGTTTCCGATGAGCCTAACGACGGCCGACAGCTGTGTGTTTGGTGAACGAAGTGTAAGCGAAGTGCGGGTGCGCCTAATTTGGCGGTAATCGATACACTGTGGCCCCCACGCATGCAGCCAAAGGCGCCGCGGGGGCCCACCCATCATTGGTAGCGCTGCGCGTATTGCTGTTTCTGGCAACAACAACAACATTTCTGGTGGGGTCGGTGCCAGCCCTCGCGGTGTCCTCAACCCAAAGACAAATTGCGCATCGAATCGGCCAGACTAGCGGCAGGAGTAGCAACAACAACAATTACAATAATTACAACAACAGAAATCGTACAAGTCATGCAACAAATAAAGAGTCTGAAACGGATACAACATCTTTATGGCCATTTTTCACATGGCCGATGACACGAGCCAGTGTTGCAACGCCGACAACAACAACGCCATCTACAAAACTAATGCAAACAACAAGTGCCTCAGTAGCAGCAGCTAGAAATAGGAAAGCGCTCATAAATTTGCGCGCCAACAGCAGTGGTAGCGGTAAGAGCAACAACAATAACACAAACAACCAGGCAATCGCAGGGCAAAGTAAATATTTGACATGGTACAAAATAGTGAGCGAACACAACAACAACAACAACAACAACGACAAGGACAATTACACAAACAAATCAAACAACTACAACGAAAGTTACAACAGCAAAAGCGACATTGCAGCAGCGACAGCGACAACGAGGCGCAACGAACAAATTGGAAACGTAGACGGAAACGCCGGCGGAAACGGAAGCGTTCGGGTAGCGCATACGGGAAATGCCAATAAAAGTAGAATAAAAAAAAACGAAAATAGTTACTACAGTGTAAATAAATTTGTGTTAGCAACAAATGAACGGCGCTCTGTTGGCAGGCGTCATGTAAATAGGAGCCTTGTAAATAGTGTAAATAAGAATAAAAATAGGCATAAAAGTAAGAATAGAAGCCATGCCAGCGGCCACAGTTTCCAAGTGGAAGCAGAAATAGAAAAGGGCAAAGCGTTTGCAAATATCACGCGCCTACAATTCGATCGCCAGAGGCAGTTCAGTGTAAGTTATTACAATAAAAGTGTTAGTGCTGGTGTTGTGTCGGCGAGTGTAAAAAATATTTCGCAAAATGTTATCGATAATCAAGAGGCGGCAATATTTTCGGGTAGTTTTTCTTCACGTGCGCAAATTTCTACTCATGACAAACAGCAGTCACTCACAATAAATAATAGTGCAACAATTGCCGCTACGACAACGACTACAACTGAAAGCATACGGCTCGATTACATTGTGATTACCGATTACAATCGTCCACGCAAGCGCACTTTCTGGCAGAAATACGGTGAGTAGGTAATGCAATTTATTTTTAACTACTATTTGTGAATTAAAATTTTTTTTGTTTTTCGATTTTATTTATCGATTTTTGACTTAAATTTCTGATGCCTACATTATTCTATGAAAGTTTTAGACAGAGTAAGGAGTTTTCTCAAGCTTCGTATAAGATTTTTATTCTCTAGAAGTAAGGAAAGTTCGAAAGATTTCTTCTTTCTCTTATGGCCATATAAATGAATAAAAGGTTCATGTAGATTCGCAATTAAATTCTATGAAAAATGGTCGAGTATACATACATATGTATGTATGTACAAACATCGACTAATTTTCAAGTAAAACAATTTTAAACTTCCACATATTTGTTGCTCGAAACTTTTAAAATATTCGTCGAGCTTTTTTAACCTTAATCTTTATCTTCTTGGCAGCTACATTTACCGTACAGAAAAAAGTATTATGTCAATAATTTTTATGATTCATTAGAATTGCGCTTTGCTTTACCAAGATTCATTTTGCTTTATCATTTCATTTCATAACGACAAATAATTAAGGAGGATTTTGTACTTCATACAAGTACCATCTGATCAAATTTTAGTCGGACTGGTACTTTTGCATTACACATGCAGGCCGAATCGATAAAAAATGTGTTTTTTTTTGTCAGTTCCGTTGGTATATTCATATTACACATTGTAATTTTTTATTGAAGGTCATAAATAAATAAAAAATTGGGACAAAAGTATTTTAGGAAAACTATTTTTTCGTTGTGATTGAGCTTTTTATAAACTATTTGAGAATTATATCTCAGTGTCATTGATCGAATAAAATAATTTTTTAAACGCATTATAAGTAGCCCTAAAAGTATCCTTCTACAGTTGTATTTGAAGTTGATAAATAATAATTTTAAAAATTTTTTCTCTAATTTTTCTGGTTATTATGTAATATTTTTGAAAAAAAAATGTCGTTGGATTTAATATTAATAAAAATGTTTAGGCACTAAAATAACTTCTTATATTTATCGGCTCTCGCAATTTGCGTGCAGCAAGAATTTTAACAGGCAATCTTTTCTAATTTTAGCGACACAGTTATAAATAGTAAATAACGGAATTTTAGTTAATAGATAATTAGATAATAACAGATAATTAGGCAGCACTTTATTACAAACACAACTGCATTTGACTTTTCATCTACGAATAATAATTTAATGCCAATTAACACTTCACTGCCAGCCAATACTAAAACTCACTCACTCACAAATGAACCGCCTGACATGCCATGAAAAGTGTTTATCAGCACTTTCATATACACACACTGTCTGTTTGTCTTACCATTCGACTCACACTTTATTATAATAGCATTTCGTGGACTCGCCACATGTGAAACTTTTATAGCCATAAGCTATGTCTATGGCCAGCCAGCGAAATTGCTTTATTATAGTTGAGCGTCAAAAAGTTTTACAGCCACAATAAAGCACAAGGCAGAACAAAGAAGAGAAAAAAAAACGAAAGCAACAACACACACACACATAAAAAGGACTTGGCAATCTACTCTCTTTGAACTAATAAAATGAAATTACCTTTTAGCTACATATATGCTTCGTGGCTAAGCGTTTATTACGTGTATACCATGTCAGCTAGTCAGCCGGGGGAGCCGGGGTGAGCAAGCTTGCTGTGAGGTTAGTTGATGTCCGGTGTCTGGTCAACGCGCGCGCAGAGTCATGTTTAATTATTCAAATCCATGTCATGTCTCGAGATAATTGCATGCATAGCCAATGTGTGCAACACACACACACACTTTCACACAAACATGCATGCGAAAGTTAGTTGGCCATCAACGTCATTGTCGCTGCCACGCCCACTCCCTTGACTCAGCTCGCAGTCGAGGTCCACTGAGCACATTCGCCCATTGCAGCCATCACGTTCACGGCGACGGCTTGCCATCAGCTTTTACTCAACACTTCGCTAGGAGACAGCAGTCCCAAAAAGCTCCACACACACACACGCACACTCTCAAGCATGCTGCAAGTTTACGTGTGTCGCTTTTGTCGCTTGTGCCCCAACATGACATTACACCCACACGCTCGCTCGTATGGCAGCTTGTCACAGTCGTCGGGGCAGCCAGCTAAATGGAGGCAGCTTTGACGGACAGACAAATTGACAGAGAAACGACACACGCACACACATACACATGCGGCCCAAGCAGCTCTCGATAAACTTTCCCAGTTAATGGCTTGGCGTGGAACATGTGTGGCTGACAGTTGTTAATATTGTTGCATGTGGAGTTTATTATGGCTGTTGTCTCTATTGTTGTTGGTGTTATTGTTAGTGTTGTTGTTGCGCTTCTACTACCGATTGCAATGCCAGAAAATTTTGATTTTACTTCACTTCACTCGAACCCGTTAATCGCACGGTTTGCTGGTTTTATTTCATTATGTTGCTGCTGCTGCTGTTGTTGTTGTTGTACATTTGTTTCATTTTCGTGTCTTGCTTTATTCAATGCGCTGCATTTGAATTGCAGACGTGGGCTCCAACAGCGTCAGACTGTCTGGGTTGTTATGCCCCGCATACAGACTGTCTAATGCAACACGCTGACTGGCACGCTATGCGGCACAGTGTGGCAATTCCATCGAATAAATATCGAAAAAATATATTAAAGGTGTATTCATTGTGATTGAATAGAAAATTTTTGAATTTAATTGGTTGCTTAAAAATAACAAAATAAAAAAAGATTACGAACAAAGTCTGTGGCGTCAAGTATCATCGATACTAAGCTTAAAACTTTTTACTGTTATGGCTTTGGGTGACCTTTGGCATTGTCAAACGTGACTGATGTGACAAAACAATGGAAGTTCTCAAATTTTCAATTCTCTGCCCAACAATCGGGTCAAATGAACTTTGGTATGATCTTAAACTAAGATTTCAATGGTTAATAAAAATACAAAATTATTAAATCAATAATATAACTTGAATCTTATTTAGTAATACCTACATTGGATAATGTCTACAACATCAGACACGAAATACAAATTTTCTGACTCAATTGACTACGGCGCCACCTATCCGCTTCCTTTTTCGTAGACATTATGATACATATATGTTCCAATGTTGCAGCAATGAGTTCTTCAGGACCTGTTTTTAATCTCAATTTCCGTGGCAAATAATAAATATTGGCAAGTTTCCGTGTAAAATCCAGTCATGAAAAAGCTTCTCATAAAATCCATTAATTATTCTCTGATGCCTTTCAAATTATAGTGTTATCAATCCCAGCCAATTATTTATTATGATCGGTTCAGTAATGTTTTGACTTTTAATCGCATAATTTAAACCACGTTCTCCAGGTCCTGCTCATTTGAATTATAAATTTTAAAGCAAAAACAAGTTAACGAATTCTGTGGCGTCTGTAAGTTCCCATCTATAGTTTCAACTTCAAAAATAGAAACGATATATTTAGCCCTTTTGTGGAACTCAAAGTATAATACTCTTAACCTCATTTAATGAGATCCTATATGACTAGCTATGTGTAACCACATATCTGGGCATAAGTAAGGTATACGCTCGAAATTTCGAAAAATTAATTAATTAATAATTGAAAATGAATACTTATCACTCAGCTATCGCAATTATATATGTTGTGAATAAAGCAAAAAACAAGAACAGAGAACAAATAGTTGTTTGGCGACCGCAGACCGCGTGTTGGTAATCGGCCGTCAATTTGTGAATGTCAATAATTTAGTATGTGTCGCTTTATGGTTAAAAGCTTTTATTAACGAACTTTCACACAGACTGTGCGTAGTCACATGTGTTAGTTCCAACATTAGGTTGCTTCGTTTTTTCATTTCAAAAGAGAAAACTTGTTTTTTTATATCGAGTTCAAGATTATGAAAACAAGAAAAACGTTGATTTCAACTGCACCGTGGCCATAATACCCTTCGCAGGTTCAAGTTTTCTTAAAAGAATTTGATTTTGATCAATCAGTTTGTATGGCAGCTGTATGCTATAGTGGTTCGATCTGCACAATTTCTTCGGAGATTGTATTCTTGCCTTGGAGAATTATCCATGCTAAATTTTGTGAGAAATTTTTTTCAAATAAAAAAGTTTTCCTTATGTGAACTTCATTTTGATCGATTTCATTCACTAATAGCAATTTATTCAGTTTTCGTAATAAATATATTTCGAACACAATTTCTTTATTTCTTCATAATAATAATATGTTCTAATGAAAATATCTCCCCACCCTAATTTCCACTATTTTTTATCTAAACAAGAGGCGTTTATGTAAATAAAACTGACTATATCTGCCTATCTCTACAAGTGGGTGGCGTTAACCTCGTAATCTGCGTATTTAATTATGTATGTATGTGTGTTCACCTCCTACCTCTGCAAATTGCCAATAAATTGCTATCAGTTTGGTAACCATGAAATATTAATTATTGATTTTCATTCACTTCATCAATATTTAATGCTCGATATAATTGCATTCACATACAAACTCACATCTGAATGTACATTTTGTGGTTTTGGGGTTTCACATTGACAATCACAATCAGTTCATTTAACTTGTTGTCAACTGATTTCAGTTATTGAATTGTTAATAATTTATTACTTTGCGGGGTATTGATCAAATTAACACTTTCAAAGTCAATATTTCCAGATGCTTTTAAAGTATCGAAGAAAATAGAGTAGTTCAACAAAGTTTTGAAATATTTAGCCGAGCTTCTGTACCTTATAAGTGTGGCCTTAATGTTATGCGATTTTTCATATCGGAAGAGAGATTTAACTTTGCTTCCTGCGCGCCGTTTAAAATCAGCTTCTCCTTTAATTTCAAATTTAACCTTTGTTGGAGTGGGACAGAGGAATCATTGGGTCGAAATATGATCGTATGAGATTATGCGTAGCATAAATATAATAGAATAAATACAAATGTTTGTATTTTAAAAATTATGAAATTATGAGAAAGATTCAACTGTTCGGTAGGAGTATTTCGGTAGAGAGAAAAAGAAATTAGCAATATAAATAAGCTCTCAT